TTGAGGATATTTATCAAAGATAGAATTGCTTTGCCCTTAACAAGTAAAGTACATCTATATAATTTTACATTTTAATGATAATACTTTTTTTTTTTTTTCCGGTACCGGGAATCAAACTCATGACATCACGCTTGCCAGGCAAGCACTGTGCCGCTGAGGTAAATCCCCAGCCCCTATAATACTTTTTGTACTGACCGACTTTTAATCTCCATCCGACACTATGGATCAAAACTTAGTTAAGAAATATCAGTGCATTCAATTTTAAAAGTGTTGTGTAGCAAAATGAGTAAGAGAAATGCATTTAAAGACATATATGAGGGAGGTGCAGAGCTGAGTGTGTGTCTTGGTTACTTTTCTGTCATTGCTGAGACAAAATACCCTACACCCAAATTAAAGAGGGAAAGGTCTATTTAGCTCACAGTTTGTGGAAGTTTCAGTCCATACTAGGCTTGCTCCAAGGCAGAGTGGCACATAGCAGAAGGCAACAGTTCATGATGGCAGAAAACAGTAAAAGCAGATAGAGCATAACGGAAAAATGGAGCAAGCCTCTTTTCCCTCCTTATATTGTATGCTGGCTATCTGCCCATGCCCACACCATCTCTGTGCCCTCCATCAAACAGGGACATAGTAGATAGAGATTGAAAATATGGACTGAGAGAGATTAATTGATATATAAAGATCTTTAAGAAAGTAGTAGGTGATTAAATGTAAATAATCATACTAACTAGTTCTCAAAAGATTGAAGATCTTCATTTTCTATTGATGCTAGAAGGCAAGTGGCAAATGGATAGCTTCGTGGAGAATTATGTTACAGAATTACCGCCCACTGTCTACCTTTCTCTTTTTGAATTACTGGGAAGATATTTACTGCTGTTGAAGAAATGTGGAGGGAGGGATACCAAGTTCAAGATAATGTAGAGGTTTTCAATAAACAAGGACTGGAGCAGGCTTGAGACTATAGATATGGAAATGTTGTAGAGCCTTGTTCCATTAAAATTTTAAAAACAATTTTAAGTAGCAAACTTACATTATTCACATAAATTATTGCAAGATTTAAGATGAAACAGTAGTAATGTTACTTCCAATTTTAGCATTTTTCAACTAAGCTTGTGTAATACTGAATGGCAGTGTGTGAAATTTACTTTATGAGAGGATGTTCCCCTTCATAGTTGCATACATTGCTGTACTTTTATGCTTGTTTTCAGTAATAAATCTTTAGTTTCATGGTTAGTAATTTTATGTCAAGCAAAAGCATTAAAATAGTAACCTTAAGTGATTAGATAATATTATATGGTTCTTTGAGAACATAGAGTTCACTAGAGTTATCTTACTTTTCTCTAAGTATTTGAGTATTTTTGAATAGGTAACAATCAAGCATAAAGTCAGTATAGTGAACACTTTCTCTACTATCCTACCAGTTTCATGTGAAAAGAAGAGTCTTTCATGCTTTTTCCAGCAGAGATGAAGTAGTGTACAGTTCTGGAGCTACGGGCTTTATACTTTGTTGGAAGTGAGCCATACGGTTGTCAGTAAGACATGGCCCTCCTGAGGCCATGGACAAAGATAACTCCAAATCTTTATTTACAAATACAGGGCAGCACTGTACAATCTCAGAAGGTTTTAAACTATTAACTCGAATAGCGTTCCACAGGGATATTAAGTGCAAAATGAAAGAAACCAAATCACACAGCACAATTAATTATCTAAGTCTATTGATGTTTATATATATGTGCATTCAATTGAAACCAGGTCAAATATATTTATTTAGAAAAGAGATTGAATGTGTACTGAACTTATTAAGAGTTTTAAGAATTATTCAAGAAATTTCAATGACAGAAAGCTTGAGACTTTCAGTTCAAACTACATAGGACTTCCAACAAATATTTGGACTGATGTTTCAGTCAAAAATGCATTACAAGTAGACATGTTTGCAGATTTTGTGTCAGTATAAAAGAATAAAAAGTTTCACTACTGTTGTCTTCAGTGATCTCATAGTCTAACTAGACTTTCTATCCAAATCTTTCTGTGATGGTTAGTTTATAAAATAATAAAATAGTTCCCAATTATCCATTCTTTCATGTACTCAAAATTTTATATAATCCTCTACAGAGTGTAGATAGGACCAGTAGGACTTGTGACTTTCTTGTAACCAGTGGAAAGTAGCCAAGGTGATAGGATATCATTTACATGCTTACATGATTTAAGGCCTCAGGGAAGCAGGCAGCCATGTTGGGCAACATTTCCTTTTGCCTCAGACATGAGCACAGACTCCAGCCAACCATCAGCCAGATATTATGTATGGTCTTCTTGGGCCAATATCCAGGAAGAAAGTGAGTCCTTTAACTCAATATGCTACAAGAAATTAGTTGAATCCTGCTAATAACTACTTGTGCGTGAAAGGTTATCCTTTTCCAGTTGAAGTTTAAAAGCCCTTTGTAGAGGACTCAGTCAAACAGTAACAGACTTTTGACTCACAGACTCTGAGAGATAAAATGTTTGTGTTATTTTAGGGCGCTACTTAAAGGGGTAAAATATTTTCAGCATTCCTTGATAGTCTACAATCTCTGGTTCATAATGAGTAATGGAAACACTAACATACAGAGTGACATTTACTTCTGCCCAAGTAATATGTTACGATTATTTACAGGGATTTTGAAGCTGTTGAGGACAAAAACTGTACTTTTTCCCTTTTGCATTATCTGAAACATCCAGGACACATTTGGGTAAATTACAGAAAGCACACAATGGTTTAGTAAATTATGAATAAAATTTAAATAGAAAGAAATTGTTTACATTCAGTAAATCATGTCTTTCTTCAGTGCACAGCTCAATGATTTATCACATATGACTGTAACTCTGCCAATGATATAAAACAAAGGTTAGTAATCTTTTTCCTTTCTGTAAGGACCTAGATGGTAAATACTTCAGGTTTTTTTCAGGCCGTACAGTTCTTTGGTTTATCTACTCTGGTCTACTGATAATTGCTTTATCAATATTTTTAATGTTAACCATTCCTATAGACTCATAGTCTATCTGATTTTGGTATCATTTTTATTTTCCTAATTAATTATGTACACATGTTGCTATAATTAATGGAACTTTAAAAATAGTGAGGTGCCGGTTGTAAACTTTTCCTTATGTTGATGTTGGCTTGCTTGTTTATCTTATTAATTTATGAAGATTCTTTGTTGTTTAAGGCATAAATCCTCTTTTTGGTATTTATTGGCTTGATAATATTTTCAGTAACACAATTTCCTATCAAACATCTGATTGTTTTGTTATATTTAATACTTTACAAATTCCACTTAAGAAATAGTCACTTTCTCCAAAAACTTGCAGAGTATTCTATGTATTATATAATATTAAATATATTATTACTATATATTATATTATTTCATGTTATTATCATTGTATGTTGTATATTATTGTGTTATTATTGTATGTTAATACTTATATTATTGTATGTTATCTGTAGAAGCTTTATTTTTTATTGTTAACCTTTACATTAATTAATTTGAAATCAAATTGAGTTTGTTGTGTTAGCTGAAGGGCAACTTTATCTTCAACATATAAGTATATAATGAACTGGACAAATTTCATGGCTGATGCCGTGTTTACTGCTGTACGCCCCCGTATTTAATATAAACACTGCCCGTATATATGCTGTGTCTCTTTTAGCCTCTGTTGTGCTCCATTACCCAGTTTGTCTAATTTTCTGTACAAACCTTATTATTTTAATTATATACGTTTGTAGAAAGTTACAATGTGGTATTACGCAGAGTAAGACTTAAACTTTCTTTTTGTGGTTTCATTATGAATTTTAGAATTAATTTGTCAACATGTATGTATGTGAACACCCACACATATCCATGTGTCCTCTAGAAATTTTGGAGGTCATGGTAGACTTGCAGGGAATCTGTAAGCTTTGGGAGCTATTTCAGACCACTTTAAATACTGAATCACTGAATTCAGAAAAATTGTTTACTCTTCTGTTGAGTATTTCTTTAGTTTTAGTTTTTATATTTTCAGGGTAGAGGTGTCTTATACTCATTTAAATTTATTCATAGATATTCAATATTTTGATATATTTTAAACATGGAACATCTTAAATTCATTTTTCTATTTGTTCCTGGAAAATATGAAACAAATTTGTACAGTAACATTGTATCAAAGATCTTGGCAAATCATTTGTTAATTTAAAAGTTTATAGGTATTCATGGTTTTTAAAAAAG